TTTTATCTTCAAAATTAATTTTCAACATTTTTTTAACCTTTTTTAAAGTGACAATTTGAAAACAAACTAAAATCAATATTCTTTAATTTATTGATAGATAGATGAATCAATATATTTTGTTAAAAAACAAATGAACATTCAATATTAAATTCGCAAGATAACGTCAATAACAATCGAGAATATATGAGAATCAAGAAAACTATGTCTTGTTATGCATCACTAAATATTCGCTTCTATTATTGACTTGTGTTTTGTACACTGCCGCGTTCTTTTAACAATTACATGAGAAAGCAATTTCTTATTCCAATTTTTTATACTCTTATTCCCTCTTAGACTATATAAACAGTCTTGTTTAAGCTGATGAATGGGGTAACTTGTGTTGAGTCCCAAAGTGTTCAGCTATGAAACTTCTAAAACTATCTGAGATGTGCACCAAACGTTCTTAAGCGTGAATTTTCGCATTCTAATATTTTTCTGTTAATTTTTAGTAAAAAAGGAAGGTTTAGAAATCAAGTTTTGCAATTATAAATTTGTTTTTAAACAATTTTGAATCTCAAAATGTGTATGTAATATATAAGGGGCAAACTTTCTCAAGTGTACCAATGTCAAAATTGCAAGTTGTTAGATCGGTCTAATATTTTCACAGTATTTAGAACTATGAATGAGTACTTAAAACCACCAAGTAATAAAATTGTTTAAAAACAAATTTATAATTGCAAAACTAGATTTTCAAACCTTCCTTTTTTACTAAAAATTAACAAAAAAATATTAGAATGCGAAAATTTACGCTTAAGAACGTTTGGTGCACATATCAGGCGTGTTTACGCCAGATCGATATATGTGCACCTCGAGAAAAAAAATTCGATATTTCGGTTAGTTTTAAAGTCTCCAGGGATTTTTTTTTTCAAAAAATTCTGAAGAAGAAAACGAATCCAAATATTATAGTTACAAAAAAATCAAAGGGGTGCTTATGCCCGAAAAAATGAAATCAAAATTTTTTCTTGATTTTTTTTCCGGGCAAATTTTAGATTTTTTTTTCTTTAATATTGCACATTAAATTGTTAGATAATCAACTATTATTACCTAAAATATAAACAAAATCTAACTAAATGGATAAAAGTTATTCGTTTTTCAAAAAAACTGTGCTTTAATGTTTAATGCCCGGTAAAATCTATAATTTTGAAAATTTTTAAAAATCTTTTTTCCTAAAATCTTCTGTCATAAAACACTACCTTTATACCAAGTTTCACAGAAATTGAAAGACCCATGACCAACTTTGATTTTTTTGAGAAAATTTGACCCAATTTCTAAATTGATTTTTTATACATTTCAGTTTGTTTTAAACTTTTTTTATATTCATATATTTTTTAGTAAATTTTTTATAAATAAACTATAAATATTGAAGAAGTACCATTAAATTTGGGAACGAAATTAATAAATCGCGTATTTGTTTCAACGGTCGAAAAGACTGCAGGGGATAGTTGCCACTTATGAAGAGCAAAGGAGAAACAATCAAGTGCTAACGTTTTTGCGTTCGTTAGCACATTACATTGTTTTATAAAATTATATTTTTTATACATTTTTATACACTACTTTATAAATATTTAATTTTCTAAGTCAAAATTGTATTTATATATTTCTATGTAAAAATATAGCCATATTATGAATTAATAACTTAAAACTAAATTAATAATATAAATGTAAAACTAAAACCAAGTACTTACAATACAAGGAAAACGAATCAGAAAACACTAATAAAAGAGTAAAATTATTCAACGACAATCAAACGTATTACAATTCAAAAAGGAGAAAAGAAACTGTGAAACAATATCTTGCAGGTAACCCCAAAATAATGACAAGAATTCACAAACGTTATGAAGTAATCTCAATTACGAGAATTTGCCGCAAGCTCTCGGAATTGAGCCATATTCGCACAATATAAAGTAAAAACTGTGATCCATAGCATTCTACATTTTTATTTTTTTCTCAGAAAGTTTTCATATATAGAATTCGAGAAAAATTGTTTTAATCCAAAAAAAAATTTTGAGTGAAAATCTGACGGAGAATGCCCCATATCTACTATGTTTGTGAACATTTTTTCAAAAAATCTTCACTACTTTTTTAGTAACATTCAAGGGAACAATTAACCATATTTTCATTGAAATCCCTTGGTAGAAAGAAATTTCTATGATCACTTACCATGGAATTTCTCAATTAGTTTTTTTTAGAAAGAAAATAAAGTAAAAGTAAGAAAATGAAATTAATCGGAATCACAATTTGGACAAGTAAAATAGGCTCTATTATTTACAAATTTTTAAGTGAACAGCTTTATAGCATAAATTTTAATAATCACGGTGGGTTTCAAACTGTTTTAACCTAAAGGTGCTCCCACTGTAAATGTCTTTTCATATATTGAATCTGTACACTTTTCAAAGTGTTTCGCAAAAAAAAATCTTTCATCGAGCCGTTTTTAAGAAAATCGATTTTTTAGGTTAAATAATTAATTTTTTTTATATTTATTTAAAGCATGTGCAGAATCGTAATGCAAATTGATACTAAAATTAATTTTTATAAATAAGATTATTTTGTAGAATGTTTAAACTTTTTCTATGCTAAATGGTCACTTATAATGACTCAATAATCCCTTAAAATTTATAAGGTGTCTATATGCCCCGTTTAGGGAATATAGGGGGTCAAAGTTGACCATGTCAAATAAAAAATATTCATCGATTTCACAGTTACACTCGAATATTAATTTCAAAAAATAGTAAATGGTTCCTTTAAGATTACTAGCAGCTGATTACGAATCTAAAGACAAACTGTAAGAATTCAAAATGGCAGATCTTATTTGGCATTCAAATTTTATAACAATTTATGGGATTCACTTGAAACTTGAACACAAGGCTTTTTAAGGTTACTAATTACGAATTTTATGTTAGATTTCAGAAATTCAAAATATGGAGAATCAGTTGTTACCCCCAAGAAACGAGCTATTTTAAATTTTTTAAATTTTACATTAAGTTCGTAATTACTGACCCCAAAAACCTCCAAGTAACGAATTTCAAGTGAATTTGTTGAATTTTTGCAAAACTTTAGTGTCATAGTAGATACTCCATATTGGATAAGTAGACAATTTTGAATTCTTATAGTTTGACTTTAGATTCAATATATGGAAAGATATTTACAGTAAGAGCATCTTTAGGTTAAAATGGTTAAAAACCCACCGTGTTATATGTACCTGCATTGTGCAATTAAATCGCCAAAAACAAGCAATAAATACTTCCCTAAAAAAGTGTCCCACAATTCTCCAAATGCTTCATTTTACAAAAAGTTTTGTATTATTTATTCATTTTAATTTGATGCAAAATTTCTTTTTGGAGTCAAAGTACCAATGCCACACAATAATTAAAAAATATTTTGGACAAAAGAACAAAAGAAAATAAAAAAAAATTGGGTGATCAAAATTATAAATATTATTAAATAATTGTGGTGGCCCACAATTCTCCAATCTCCCCTATAATTTCTATGCATTTCATAATCACAATTTTCAAGCCAAATTCTATTTTTCTTCTTTTTTTTTTAAAAAGAATAAATTCGGACCATTTATATTTCTCAATGACAATTTTTTTTAACAAAACTAAGTTTTTTTTAAAATAAATACAAAAAATTAGCATAATTTCTATTTCTTTATCATATTTTTAAAATAAAATCTAAAGTATTTTTAAAAAATAAAATTTAGAATTTTAAAAGATTTTTATAAAATAATGAAAAAAGTGTCCAGTTTTAATTAGTCAAATGACATTTTTCTCCAAGTTATTAGTTTCTTTTGCAAAAAAATTTGCATAATGTTCTACTTCATAATCACAATTTTTATATAAAATCCTGTTTTTCTTTAAAAAAAAATTTTTGAACATTTATATTTCTCAATCACAATTTTTTAACAAAATTCCAAGTTTTTTAAATATAAAGTAAAATATTTTTTATAAATTTGATTCGTCAATCATAATTTTTAATTGAAAATAAAACTAAGTGTCAATATTCCACTAACTCTAATTAAAAGTTAATCATTGATTAACCGCTCATGATTTGTCTGTTAAGGATTTAATCGTTGATTATCTTTTATTCGGTATTAGTGAAACTGGCAAAACTGACCCTGAGAAGTTTAAAAGGGTTTTATAAAATAATGGAAAAAATGTTTCATAATTTTAATTTGTCAATCACATTTTCTTTTACAAAATTTTTAGTATTTTTTCCATAATTTCTGATTCTTTATCACAATTTTTTGGCGTAATCTCAATATTAGTTTTTTAAGTATGAATTCATAATTAATAAGAATTAATTATTTAGAATTTTTGAAAAATAAACTCACAATGAGCACTCGTGTATCTTGCACTGTTTTATACTATTTTTTATGTTTTTATAATGTTAAAAAAATGTTTATTTATTTTAAAAAAATTAGTAATTTTATTGAATTTATTCATTTTTCTTGCTTTTCCGCGCCAAGTTTTGCAACGAGAAAGAAAAATTATGCAAATTTTTTTCCTTATTTCAAAATAGTATTACAATTTTGAAATAATATAAAAAATTATAATTAACCAATCAAAATAATACCATTTTTTTAAATAAATTATCTAGTTTTGTTAAAAAATGTTGTTTGACGTTTTGTTTTCTAAAAAGACACATCTAATTCAAGTTTTATAATAATTCCATTTTATTATGCTAATATATCTCAAAGAAATTAATTATTTATTAAAAACACAAGGCTTTGGAGGTGAGTTTAATTTTTCTTCCGCTGATTCATTTGATTTAATTTACTGTTTTGTTATTTTTTTATTATTTAAATTTATAAATTTTAAATTAATTAATATCAATTATTTAATTGTTTCAAGTTTAAGGATAAATGAAAAAAATGTGAAACAAAAATTTTGTTTCGAATTTCGAGAATTTGTTTTCATTTTCTAATAATATTTTTTAAAAATTCATCTCTAATTGAAGCTTACCAACAACTGTAAGTAGTACGTTATCTAAAAATAGACTAAGATAAACAATAGTGACAATGAAAATTCTCGATTGGTTTTCACCCTCGGTCGACATATTTTGTTAAAATAATTCACCAATATTAAGTCATCACCGATTATTTTTTGGGAAACACCGTTTTTTAAGTGTAAATACGAATTCTTTTCTTCGTACACAAAATATTAGAATTTTTTTTATTTTTTTAAAATAAAAAAATATATTGTTTATTAGGTAACACTTCACGCAGATTTCACATTCTCACTGAAATGCGTACAGAATTGCAAGGTACTTTTATATGTTTTTTTTTGTTTTTTTTTCTCTAAAGTCTTGAGCATGCGTAATACTCATAGATCGACTCGTTTTACGAATCCCTGCACATTTCGATTTATTACGATCGCGCCTGCTTATCGCTAGCCAACAGACTTTTCTCATTCATGAGATGAACATATGACGTGGAACTAATACTTACCCTCTGTAATTTTTTTTCTTTTAATTTCTTTTATCAATTTTACACAATTTGTGGTTACGATTTATTTCAATTAATAATAACAGAAAAAAAGAAAAGAGAAAACATAATTGAAGGAAAATATTTTTTTGTAAATTTTGTTCTATTTAAATTATTATTTAAACTGTTTTATTTGGTGGAGTAAAAAATTGTAGTAAATACAATGTTGGCCCCTTCGGGTAGTTCTTGGGTTTTTGAAAGTGCTATTACGTTTCCTATCTCCTCTGGGAATAACGCACCTGCGTTCTGATTGGGAAATTACGATGCGTTTAACACGATTTATATATATATATATATATATATATTTTTTTTTTTTTTTTTTTTGAGGCATTTTACGTGAAATGTCCTAAGTTAAAATTTTAACTTCTTGAAAAAAATTGAAACTCGGGGAATTTATTGTTCTATCAAGTAGAAATGTAACCCAAAATATATTTTTGACCTTCACTGCAAAAAGAAGTATCTTAATTTTAGATGTTTTGGTAGTCATTTCTAAGATGTTTTGGTAGACACTTTTTAGTTACTTGAAACATCTTAATTTAAGATGTTAAAAGTATCTTCGTACACATTTTCTATGGTATTTTTAGGGCAAAAAGTTTTGAGGTTAACTATGGGCTCTTATGGAAAACACTTTATGTATCTTAGTTTTTAGTAACTTACACTTATGGCGCATCTTACGATTCTCAAGTAACTATTATCGATAATCATCTTATTGCAACAGAAACAACTTAATTTAAGATACTTTAAAGAACTTACCAAAGTATCTTACTTTTCTAAAATGGAAGAAATATCTTCATCACTGCTAAAACGTATAAAGCATCTTAAATATCAGTAAGATGCTTTAGAAAACATCTTATTTTAAGATGTAAGATACCATTTTTCCATCTTACATCTTATTTTAAGATATCAAAAAAGACACCTATTTTTGCAGTGTTGTCAAAAATTTGAAGGTGGTAGAGGGATGTCAATTTACTAATTTTGCTAAACACCGTCTACTTTTGCAATTTTTTTCTGTACATTAGCCTGGCCGCGATTTGTTAAGATATTTTTTAATCTGGTGATATCATTGAGCGCCGGGCAGAAAAAGTTTCCTTTTTACCTAAAGAAACAAATACGAAAATACTTAAGTTGATCTATAAATAATTAATAGACCCAAAAACTTAATAATATTATAGAAAAAGAGATTTTATTGACATTTTGAATTTTAATATTAACCCTAGAAGGAGTACGTTAATTTACTCACCCTCTAAGGAGTAACTGGGGTGTCCCGACACCCCACGCTTTAAACTTGTTTTATAAGGTTTATATTTGACGTAAAAAAAATTCATTATAATGAATTGATTGGTTTTTTAGTAAGGAATACAATAATATTATTCATATTTTAATAAATTAAAAAAATTTTGAAAAAAACTATAAAAACCCAAGAAAACACCAAAAAATTGCAAAATTTACTTTTTTCACAAAAAACGTTGTAGTTTCTTAAAAATTTGACTAATTAAAAAACTATTTTAGGTTTTTAAAGTTAAATAGATACACTTTTAGGGGAAAAAATTAGTTTTTGTATTACTTCCAAAAAACATAATTATTTGAACATCTGAAGTGAAAGAAATTAAAGACAATTGACGAATAGTGAAAATCATAAAAATGAACTATAAAATGGACTTTTAACCAATTAATATTTACTAAAAATGGTGTTATAAATTTAAAATTTTACAAACTTAATATATCTGAATATATTAACATTAAAATTAATAACTTATGAAATGATTCTGTAAATTAATATTTAATCGAAGTTTTAATTAACAATTCTTAATACCTCTAATATATGTTAAAATATTATTAACAATATATAATTTCTAATTTAAATTTGACTGTCATATACTACATTTTTCTGTATTAGAATTTAATTTCTGACTGTAGAAAGAGCACATAAATTTTTAAAAAATCTTAACTCAAATTTCATAAGTTGTTACAAATACAGAATGTCTATTTTTCATAAAAATAGAATTTTTGTATAAAAATGTTTCTTTTTTATAAAATTCAACTTTTTCATGCATAACCTATCAATTTACACTTTATCAGATGATTTTAACTGATTAAAAACGATTTTTTTTTTAAATTTGAATTTACTTATCTTGACAATCTTACTAACGTTAGGGAGTAACTGGGGTGTCCAGACACCCCAGACGTATTTTAACAGGAGTTTGAGCTCTTCATATAGAGCTCAAAGATAGAGGTTCAAACTAAATTATCAACAAGTTTTGAGCGTAAAAAAATTATTGGTTAAGCCATGGGAATACTTTGAATTTTGCTTGGGGTGTCCAGACACCCCAGTTACTCCTTCTAGGGTTAATTTCATAAAGTTTTCAATTTCTCGGACTATTGTTTATGGATTTTTATAAAGTTTACACATTTTTCAGGTAAAAATGTGTACTTTAAAATAAAAATAATGTAAATAAAAAAATTAAAATTTTTTTTTTTTATTATTTACTCCTCTCTAAGAAAAATGTTAATAACATATTTGGAATCCTTATGAATTCATCTTTAATTTAATAAAACAAAATTGATGAAGACTCATCTGGTTCCGGTGATATTGAAGTTTTTGTAAAAAAAGACTAGCCGCAGCAACAAGGTGAGCTTCGAATAAAAAGCCAAAAGTTCTTGCCCATCCAATTTTTTTAGTATCGTTTCGGTAAAGCCATACAATAATTTTAAGACAAAAAAGAAAAAATCGGTACATGAAATTTTGAATAAACTCAGTTTTTCGATTTTTTTCATTTCGGATATTTAAAAAATCTTCATTTGTTAGTGAGTTGGGCAAATTTTACAAAAATTGAGTAGAAATAGACAAAACTTCGATAATATAGAAGAATTTAACTACAAACATCTAAACTTCAAATGGTTCTGCAGATTTTCGGTATAACTGGATACGAATTCTATGTCAGATTTCCAAAATTCAAAATAGCGGATCGTATATGGCAGACGATTTGGTAAATCTGACATCGTATTCGCATTTAGTTGTACCGAAAATACGCAGAAGTATTTGAAATTTATATTCTGGTTTGTAGTAATATTCTTCTTCATTATCGAAGTTTTGTCTGTTTTTACTCAGTTTTCAAAGAATTTGCCAAACTCAATAAATAGAATAAACGATTACTCAGAGAAAAATGAAAATATTTTAAATTTTCAAAATGTATTTTAAAGAAGAAAAGTAGCGTCTTTAGATGCAATATTGAACTTTTGTCAAAACAATTATCTTTGGATGTTAAAAAACTGGTCTTTTGCACTTTTAAGTTAAAATACATAGAAAACCTGACGTGCAGGGTCTATTATGACGCTGAATTCGGAATTATCACTTTGAAAACCTTCGGAAAAATATTGTTTGATTCTTGTTTAGTAAATACTGTCGGCCTGTGGTACAAACGGTTCCTAAATTTTTTAAAAATTGATGATAAACGACAATTTCTTCATCAATTTTGGAAATTTTTAAGACTCTACAGAAATTTTCGGTGCATTTTACCATAGAAAATCTTTGTCGATGCTAAAAAAAATTCGAATCCTCCGGCTGCTACTCTTGAAAAAATTGTTTTTTCATAGAATTTCTTTAAATTTTGAGAAAATATCTCTTCGGGTGCCCTTTAAATGTGGTAAAAATTTCAAAACCCTTTTGCGATGCTAAATTTTGAGATATTCAAGTTCAAACTTTAACTTTTACATGCGATTATGTTAAAAATAAAAAATGCCAACCACAATATCTCGTTTTTTGACATGGCAAAGAGTTTTGAAATATTTAAATATTTACAAAGAAACATTTTCTCAAAATTTGAAGAAAATCGATTAAAAATCAATTTTATCAAGAGTAGCAGCCGGAGATATACCTAAAATTTTTTATTTAAAAATTAATTTTTTTTATTAACTTTATTTTTATTTTAAATTACAAATTTTTACCTGAAAAATGTGTAAATTTCATAAGAATCCACAAACAATATTCCGAGATATTCAAAATTTTATAAAATTAATAGGGGTTGGTTGTACCAGGGGTAAGAAATACCAGTCAGTTTTTTCTGTGTATGTAACTTTTTGACCTCAAGTATTCGACTTTACTTTATCTTTAGATCATTTCAAACTGAGAAGTACAACCAATTGTCCACCAGGCGTCGCAGTAAAAAACTATCCGTGGATGCGTCAATTTTGACAGGTAATCAAGGAAAAATACTTTTCGTAAACTTTGATTTTTTAATGGAAAATTTGATTAGTTTTTCATTGTATCGAGCATAAAGTTTCTAAATATATCCATCTTCATTATTCTATATCATATTTTATTTGAAATAAAATATATTATTAGAAATTTCAATTGATTAAAAAATTTGTTCCTTGAGGCAAGTTGTACCACTTTTTCGGGGTTGGTTGTACCAGCCTAAGTAATTATAACTTATATTTGTTAAACTAATTCGCTGTAATTATTCATTTATCTAATAAAGTTTTTTATGTTTTAGAATGAGAAATTATCAAAGAAAAACTGACAGAGGATCAAAAAGTCAACATGTTTATGAAATGGCTTTTATTCAAGTTACACAAAATAAAATGAGCGTACGAAAAGCAAGTAAATTATTCGATTTGTGCCATGTTTTATTATTGAGATATATGAAGAAGAAGGAAAAAGAGGATACGCCGATACTTGGCTATGTGAAAAACAAATTGATTTTTACTCAAGAACAAGAAAAGAAGTTGGTTTCC